AAAAGATGATGCTCTAATTGTAAATCGAACATTTCGATAGAAAGAGCATTATTTTAATATATATTTTAATATATTTTAAATATTAATTATAGTAATATTATTTTAATATTTAATAAAATATTTTATTGTGATTAGACGGTTAAAATTAAACAATTTTAATTAGGATTAGAATTGAAACTGTTTCTGGATTTTACAACGTAATAAGATTTGCCCATAAAGCAGCTTTTATAATGCCTGAAAAGTAGTGCTGGTAGGAGAGAGATCGGCTTCAGGGGAGAGAACTCACGTATCTTGTATTTTTAATTTAATTTTCTATTACGTTTTCATCGATAATTTGTGTTTTGCTCACAAGAGCTTCAAGATCTGGCCACCCATCAGATACAGACACACGGAGTCTGTGGAAAATTTTAAGAGATCACGTGCCCAAGACCATTAATATTCTCTATTTGGTGCTCTGTAATAACTGCTTGAGACTAATTACGAAAAATCCTCATTTCAAAACTTCGTACTAGATTACTAACCCACTAATCTCGTCCACAGCCACTCCGACTTTACCGTCGTCAAGGCAGGGCCACCAAGTGACCTCTGTCACCGTCCGGCCTCACGTAACCATACCAAATGCCATTACTAACGGTGGTAACAAGACCTCGGTGGGCAGTAATGGCGTCGGCGAAGCGTGTCGCGACATCCACTGCGACTTCGACGCCACGTGCGAACTGGGACCTGATAGCTTTCCGCGTTGCTCGTGTCAATTTCACGTATCGTTGGCCGTGGGCGAAGGCGGAGGAGGAGGAGGAGGAGGAGGAGGAGGGAAGGCGGTGTGCGCGTCAGACATGAGGCTGTACCCTTCCGTATGTGCGATGAAGATGGAGGGGTGCCAGAGGCAGGAGGAACTGAGGCTGCGGCCGCTAGACCTCTGCGAAGGTGCGGAGTGTCGCATGAATCTCTGTCTCGATACGTGCATCCCGCAAGGCTCGTTGCTCCTGTACCGTGTACGAGGTGCGATCGGAAAGTTTCCAGACTGCGCCTATAAAAACCCGTACACTTATCTCAGGTATTAAATTC